ACCTCTGCACCGCGAGCTGCACCGGAGCAATCTGTGCATTGCACCGGAGCAGCCCGTGCATCGCACCAGAGCGACCTTTGCACCACGAGCTGCACCGGAGCAATCTGTGCATTGCACCAGAGTGATCTTTGCACCACGAGCTGCACCGGAGCAATCTGTGCATTGCACTGGAGCAGCCCGTGCATCGCGCCGGAGCGATCCGTGCATTGCACCAGAGTGATCTTTGCACCACGAGCTGCACCGGAGCAGCCCGTGCATTGCACCGGAGCCATCTCTGCACCGCAAGCTGCACCGGGGCTGTCCGTGCATCTCACCAGAATAATCCGTGCATTGCACCAGAGTGATCCGTGCACCGTGTGCTGCACCGTGGCCGTCTGTACAGCACACCGGAATAACCTGTGCACTGCACCGGAGCCATCTCTGCAGCACGGGCTGCACCGGAGAGTCATCCGTGCACTGCACCGGCGTGATCCGTGCACCGTGTGCTGCACCGGAGCATCCCCGCCTTGCACCGGATCGATCTGCTCACCGCATCGGGGCGATCCGTGCACCGTGTGCTGCACCGGAGCGGCCCCTGCACCGCACCGGAGCTGCTCCGCGCGCTGTGCACCGCACCGGGGCCATCCCCGCCTTGCACCGGAGCCGCTCCCCGCACCGGGGCCATCCCTGCCTTGCACCGGAGCCGCTCTGTGCACCGGGGCCATCCCCGCCTTGCACCGGAGCGATCTGCTCACCGCATTGGGGCGATCCGTGCACCGTGTGCTGCACCGGAGCGCCCCCGCACCTCACCGGAGCCGCTCCGCTTGCCGTGCACTGCACCGGAGCCGCTCCCCGCACCGGGGCCATCCCTGCCTTGCACCGGAGCCGCTCCGTGCACCGGGGCCATCCCTGCCTTGCACCGGAGCCGCTCCGTGCACCGGGGCCATCCCTGCCTTGCACCGGAGCCGCTCCCCGCACCGGGGCCATCCCTGCCTTGCACCGGAGCCGCTCCGTGCACCGGGGCCCGCACCGGAGCCGCTCCGCGCGCCGCTCCGCGCACCGGGACCATCCCCGCCTTGCAGCGGAGCCGCTCCGCGCACCGGGGCCATCCCCGCCTTGCACCGGAGCGCTCTGTGCACCGCACCGGAGCCGCTCCGCGCGCCGCTCCCCGCACCGGGGCCATCCCTGCCTTGCACCGGAGCCGCTCCCCGCACCGGGGCCATCCCTGCCTTGCACCGGAGCGCTCCGTGCACCGCACCGGGGCCATCCCCGCCTTGCACCGG